ATTGAATGCACGTCGCCGACCCGATCGCCGGCAGGTACACCAGGCCGAAGCCCAGCCCTGCAACACACAGCCCACGCCATTGAATGCACGTCGCCCACGCGATCGCCGGCAGGTACACCAGGCCGACGCCCAGCCCTGCAACACACGGCCCACGCGATTGAATGCACGTCACCAACTGTAACGGTTACCGTCTCGGGTTGCTGTACCTACGTTTGCGGGTTCAAAACCGTGAATTTTTAAGGGCGAAAAAATTCTTCATACATCATCCTTCGAAGGGGAATTAAAGCTGACGGTCCCATGCTGTATATATACTGAATGTAAAAAAAAATTACACCTAAAATAATTCTCTGAGATAAATTTAAATGGCCTGTTTTGTCACCCGAGTGATACCTTCTTTCTCCGCTAAATGGTGAATGGAGCGAAAGTTTGTGCGATCACACGGAAGAGCAGGCCTGATAACCTGAGTCTTATCAAGTAAAACAAGGCGTTAAATTAAATCGAATTGCATTGAAATATAAGGGAGCGGTGGAGCGCAGGTCTTACCAGTGCCGAGGCCGATGGTGAGGTACAGCGTCTGCACGTTGGTGGCGAAGACGCTCAGCGCAAGCGAAATGGAACCCAAGATGGCGCCGGCGATGGTGACGGGTCGGCAGCCATATCTGTTCACGAACGAGCTGGAGATGGGGCCTGCAACGGAGGAGTTATTTAGGCCGCCGAGTTTGGAAACAGCGCGAGTAAAGCACAGCTGCAATTACTGCCACATGAAATTTTATTAAAATGTTGATATATATTTACATTACGCACACAATGTAATATATTACACACGTACTATAGAGAAAGTTATATAATGCACAGGACATTTTACAAAGAAAAGAGGACAATTCGATTAAGTTGTTCTAGCATACCCGTACGAGAGCTCTCGCATGTTAATCCTTACCCTTTTTCTATCCATTTTCCTATCCTTTTCATTAAGAAGGAAAGTTGTTAATGAAGCCTATTTATTTGTTAAAAATGTATAAATGTAACACTTCGTACTTTCAGAATGTCAAACACGAATAAAAACAATGCAAACAATTGAGGTTAGAAAAAAAATTTATACAAACATTTATTCAGAAGTATAGAGAAAAGTTCTTCGAACAGTTTACACTTCCCTAGAAACAATATTTGAAGTAATTTATCAATCTTCCTTAACAGATAGCTTTTCTTTTTCCTTGACAGTCACAAAAATATTTGAAAATGTTTTTACTCTTGAGAATACATGATCGGGCAAGTACAACCGTACTCTTTGCAATATTATTTAACTTTCTTGGATTCGTTAAGAGAAACAGATTGGGTTTTGGAGGGGCAGGGCGCGAGCTAGCTGGGTTGCGAAAATTGAAAAATTATTTCTATACAAGTATTGTATTATTGTCTGCGTTTTTAGGTACATCAAGGAAAGCAATTCCGAACCAAAAAATAATAAAACTAATATTTTCACCTTCAAGTAATAAATACCATTTGTTAACATTAGAAACAATTCTGTAGGCTTAGACTTCACATCGGTATGTGGGAATTTTTATCAAACGCTGTTTACATATTGAATATCTAGGCGAACTGTCACCTTAAGTTTAATATCAAACGGTGTATTATTTACAATATGAGTTTACAGTTGGGCATTGATGTACAGACGTTCTGATACCGCTAACTTTCGTGTCTGGATTGTGATCGTTGACAGTTGTGGAATGTCTATATAGGCGAATATTCTAGCTTTGTTTATGAGTTATTTAACGAGATAGTTGACTGAGTAAAGCGGGTTGCATTTGACATGAATATTTAGATGCATTTTTTAAAACAAATCCTTCATATTTTTAAAGTCAAAGTGCAATTCATCACTTCTCAGTGAAATTATTTTTTTTAGATACATTTATAAAGATCGGTTGCGTGTAAGAGCCACAAAAGGTATGTATGCTACTGAAATAATATAGGAGACGATGAAGAACATATGAGGACCAATTTAGAATATTTTGTGTGAAACATAACCCATAAACTTGAAAACTCTTGTTTTTTTGCTAGTTATGAAAGAGAACAATGTTCTTTCTATTAAAATATTAGATACTGGCTACACTTCCACTAATATACATAAGTTTTAAAATTAGCTATAAGTTAAATGTTCGTTTTTAATATCTTATGCCAATCTTGAGAAACAATTCCATGAATCTTTAAGTGCCAGGGAAGCAGATATTTGAAATGTGGCAGATGAAGCATACTCGATTATTTGGTAAACCACTTTGTTTTCTTATTGTAATCTGTTCTAAAAACTTAAGTTCATATAGGAACATGTACATTTGTAAAACAATTATTTTTTGTGTAATTTTTGTTTGAAGAAAAGGCAATTGACGTTGTTTTTTTTTAAAAGGCTACAATTTTTTCTTTAAATGTTTTCTTTGGTTAGAGCAAAGGATACACAAGAAATGGCGTGGTCTCGTATTTATTGAACTCTCTGAATTATCGAAAACTGTTCTTGATTATATGAACTATCGAAAACGAAGGTTCGCGGCGTCTCACGTCGTTAATATTCACATTTGCGGCGATTTCTTCACATAATTGTATTTAAGAGTATATGCGCTTTAAATGATGTAGTATAAAGTCTCTAGAAAACTCAAAAGTTTTCTGTAAAAGTACCATTCCGTTCCATCACTAGTTTAAAATTATTTTGAGTGAAAAAAGGAAAAAATCGATTCCCCTAAATTGGGTCGGAGCCTGGGGCAAATTGACCAACTGTTCCCCTCTAGTGAGTGTCCCTGTATGGATGATGACATGGTGACATTTAATTTTTATTAGTAATAGGAATTCACCCATTGCTATTTAAAACAGTATTTGCTTTCTCTTAGTGCATGTTTTGTCTTCTTGTTTCATCTTTTCGAGTCTGCAAACATTGTTATCTTTCTGTTTACTATGACAGGTTAACGAGCCCCTCTGGAAAAGGTCTCTTTCTCGGGTGAAACACGTCACTCGCTCGGCAGAAGTGCTCAGACAAGCGTGCAGGACCTCTTCATAACCTCTTACGGAGACGCGCTAAACCAGTTGTCACGCACGGGCGCTTCTCGCTCGTGCCGCTAGAGCGCGGCGCCGTCGCACAGAACGCAGCGCTTGTGGCGGCGAGGCGAGAAACCACGAGGCGATGCCAAGAGATCACGAGGCAAGGTAATCGAGTGGAAAATAGCTTTGGGGCTATGGGGGAGGGTGTTATGTTGACGGAGCCCCAGAGCCAGAGATCTCACAGACAAGCGTCTATTCTTCGAAAAACCAGTACTTCTGCGGGATATAATAAAGTAAGTGCAAAGTTATATACAGAGGGTGATCTATAATTGAATGTAATAGGTTCAGGCAATTTCGCAATTTTGCCTCAATTCGATGGATTTATTGTTAATGGAGTTGTCATGAAAGCGAATTTGAAGAAAAGTGGAAACGAAATTTCATATGATCATTGTAAAGCACGTAATACTCTTCCTAAAATATTAAATCCACTACGTGTTCATTGTAGATTGTGTTCTATTTAATTTTGTTCACGTCAGCCGCAAGACTTTTTTTCATGTGGTGATTTCACAATAACACCTGTTTATATATAATACATTTATTGAACAATTTTCACATAAAGATAACCCAATTAGGTCCCTCCAACATTTTTATTTGTTACATTTAGCGCTAGTAGATTTGTTGGTTTGGCGCTAGGAGATTTGGGATAAATAATATAGATTACCTTTAACCGCACACCGTCGTAGTATTTTTAATCGCATTAAATTGGATTTCTCGAATATTTTTTACAGGAATTGGTTTACTTCCTTCTGTTATTTAAAAATGTAATTTTGCACCCGTATTATTTGTATTATTACTAACTAGTGAGAACCTCTCAAAAAATGCCATCAACCTACTAAGAAGACAAACAGCCGAAGTGACAGTTTTGTATAACCAAGAACTGTAATAATTTTTATCTACCAACAACCAACCCTTTTGTCTCGAACATAAAGAAACAAGGATTGTAGGATAAATGATACTTTTGGTTTCAAAATGTTTGTTTAAACTGAACAAAGCTGAGAACTGTATTTTAATTCAATGCATTTGGCTTGAGGGAATGATTAAGAAGGTTTGTCGCTGGTAAAATGTAGATGGAAAAAATGAACCCTGTGAGTGGATCACAGAGTGTGATTGTTCAGGCATATTGTACGTAAACATTGATACGTATCTGGTATTTAAAAAAGTAGAGACCGTATTGTGAATGAGATATCTTTTCTGTTGTAAGGAGTACATTCTTTTATACTCTTGGGCTTTGAAAACGTAACTATTACCTCAAACTCGTACGCTTGCTGGTACTACGTGATGAAACTATTACTGCTTTCAATAGATTTGCAACTCGCACAACAAATTAAATAAATTAACAAATGATGGCAAATTAGCGTTGATGTTAATACTAATTGATACTAATACTACTTGATACTAATTTTAGTATATTATTAAACTTTAAACGTAAGTGATAATACATCTTGGGCCCATTAACTTCATTTAAAGGAAATTGACTTGAGGAGAAAGCTCAAAATTTCTTTTTGAACTAAAGTGATAAGTGTTTTAAATATGTAGATAATTTATTCACTTGTTTGCACTTTTCATCGACTGATTAGTGATTCCGGGCGCGTCAATTAAGGCCAACTATCCCGTAAGCGTAGTGCATGTTGTGCATTATCTGCCCTCGCTGGTTGGCGAGGTCCAGTGCCGACCTTCATCGGCTAGCGGTGTCTTCTCCAACCAGGTATCTCCCATCAACTTCAGCCGGGACAGGCTCTAACCTCCCGACCGGTCTCCCGACAAGAGTGATTTTGTAGTGCACGTGAGAGTGAGAGTCAAAGTAAGAGGTCAGAATATGGCAAGGAAGAGGAAGGAAAAATAACATGCGGTCCATGGGCCGGTTTGTTAAGATACTGCTCCGGCATTCGTTTGATATTGACAAGGGAAACGACGGAAAGCTACCGTCCAGAGCAGGTGGCCTTTAGAATTCTCCTCGAGACAGCCACACAGAATTCTACTTGGCGATCTAACTGGTGTCGAAATTTCTGCCACCGTCGTGACTCGAAACCTAGGACATCCCGATCTGCAGTAACATCAATTGATGCCCTGAGACACCTCTGCCAATGCTTGGAATTTTATCAGCTATCGTATATTTATCCTTTTATGAGGCATTAAAGAATTAACTGGTTAATGAGACTCACCGGAACACAGCGTGACGCCCACCAAAATGGACAGGATCCACGCGGTCTCTCCCCGACCGCTTTCGAAGTAGGTGATGAGGGCGTCGTAGAAGATGCCGAACGAATACGTCACTCCGTCGTCTGCAATTCAGACAAGCACACAGATACGTCAGTAAACAAATAAAAGTACACACAAATAAAAAAAATATAATTAACTCCTAGCAACTACCTCCCGCTTAGTTCGACCCGTAGTAACAAAATGGACAACAAATTCAGTCGTATTACTCGTGCAACTTTTCTTGAACGATGACCTTACTTCCCCCTCTCTGACACAATAAACAGTTGAAGACAAAAGCTCGCAGCGAGCACTGATGACAACATTCCAAAAAGGTTTTCACTGAGCAAATAGAAACTATTTTCCGGTTGATGAAGAACTTCGTGTCCGTGATTTTCTCCAAAAAAAAAAAAAAAAAAAAAAAAAAAAAAAAAAAAAAAAAAAAAAAAAGAAAAAAAAAAACTTTAAAGAAATGAAGCCGAAGCAAGATAAAAATCCATCCACATGAGATATCTCGAACTCACCTGAGAAAGTTGCGAAGCCATGACTGATTGTCCAGATATTGGCATTGCTTCATGAAATCTAGTGGCCGATTCCATAACTAACACCCCCGCTTTACCCGCATTTCTTCAATCCATCGTTCAAGAAAAGATGCTCGAGTAATACCTGGTATGCTGTGTAAATTAACTAAGCTACAATAGTCAGATTATCAATTAAATTGTAAACAAATAATAACAGAAAAAACGAATTAGACGAAAAATGTATAAATTTGAGGTGAGCATCATTATTATGTCACGCATTTCACATAAATTCAACTATGCATAATAATATATGAATTCGTATTGTTTTACTCGTATAGTACCTGATGATGGGAACGAGACAGGTTACCGAAACATAAGAATAATAAATAAACTATTCTTCGAGATTTTCTCAGTTTCTTACACCCAATTTGATTGTATAAATATATAGAGAAACGTAGATGTATAATTATATTATTAATAAGATAGTCATATCATAAATAAATAAAAATACATTATAAATACGAATGTACATTATATGGATATTAATAAGAATAACAACAAAAACAACAACAATAAATCTTATTTCTCAAGCATTAAAAATTATATTTCGTTGCGTCTTATTATTGAGCCGTCCATCTTCTATTCGGTCAACCTTAATTCCTTTTACTTTGAAAACAAATGCCAGTAAAACACGCCGCTGTATTTTATTTCTTAAAATTTTTTCATGCATTTAATTTCGTTTGAATTATGTATTTTTAATTATTACTGACATCTACGTCAGTCACGGCAAAGTAGATGTGCATTTAATTGACATTATGAAATAGTAACACAAGAGATTCCACTTATGAAAACATGAATTTCCATGTTTCGATCAAGAAAGAAAGTTGTAAGTACTCATAGATTTAACCTTTTTTATTTCACTATTTTTAGTAATTTTATCAACTTTAGTTCTTTCATTCCTTGTTCTATACTGTATGCTTTCATTCTAAAAAATATTATTCCTCAATAGAAATGGATACCCATTATTTCAATTAAAAGGTTTTAATGACTTTTAAAACTAAAAATATAAATTTCAGTAGTGCGTTATTGAGTACTACATTAGCTTACGAGTACGCGTGTGAGTTACAATGGTGAGTCTACTGGGAGTTTAAAAATATAATTGAATGGAAGAAAATAAATTTAAATGAAAAAATGTTCCTCTGTGTTTTATGTATTCTGCATTTGAAATATATTAAGCTGCATGTAAAAACAGCAGATCTGAAATAAACACATATCAACGTTCCTCCAAATAAATGTAAGTGTAAATAGAGCAGAGAGAAAGAATAATGAAATACTAACAAATATTCTGATCGAATTATGTGATTAAAATAAAGTAGGCGTTTTCCATCTTGCGCGAAATCATGGTATCGAATCGGAGATTTCCCGATAATGCAAACAATTGCTGACTAAAACTGTGTAAGAATTAACTTTCTAGTGAGCAGAACGTGCCATACGCACAGAAAAATATTCGAATGTTTGTTTTTAATCAAGAGCCACATATGCTGGTATTGGTTTAAATCCAAATCCTCTTCCTGGGGACTTGCGATTGAATAACAGCATGAAGAATTTATTCTTCTTACGGGGGCAAAGCTCTCCTCCTATATCATATCATCCCCATATGCCAAAACCACGAATGTACCAAAATTAAGATTTTGATAAATGCATGTCTGACATCTAATTGTAATGATCTGTCTTTTGCAAGAATCGCGAATATTGTATCTTTATTCTTTGGCAAAGTACAGAAAGTACACACTTTACTTAGTTACTTATGCCATAAAAACGAATGTGACACATTCGTGATTTCTTTTTTATCATTTACATGTTCTATATACAATGTATATCACGAATCTGTCGATATCACGAAAATGTATAACACGAATTTTGATTTTTGTCTTAAGTAAAAATGCATCTGTTAAATATTGTATCATACCAAAACCACGAATGTAACAAAATCAAGATATAAAGGAGAGTATTATCACATTTTAAATAACATTCTGCAATACACATTATACTACTAATATGGTGTATTGACAAACAAATATTAAAATATATTGTAAATATGTAATTTTCCACGGGCTTCACAGTTTCATTTGCCTTTTCTAAAAATTAATAAAATGCACATTCGTGGTTTAGGAATGTGGTAGACGATATTACATCATATAAAATTTACTGATGGTGTGCTGTACACCTGTAATTCGAATAGGAGTCAATCTTTTTCGTAAGGAACTCACTCGTATTGACAAACCATAAAAGTAAATATTGTTAGAAGGTTCTTCAAAAAAGCCATTTTGTCAAATATTAACCCTTGAATAGTTTTCAAAATAACAAATGTACGAGTAGCTATTGTGGACTACGGGCAACGGAGGGGCAAAAAATCAGGCAATTTTCTATTTTCCTGTATTTTTTATCTATAATCTAAAATGTCCATAAATTCTGTATGTTTTTCGTACTGTACTTAACTAAACAGAGGAACCAAAAGCTACTCTTAATATCCAGCAAACCATTATATATTTAAAAGTATCGTCTGTTAAGAACAATCGAAACAAGTAAGTTGTATCAAAGATGGCGTGTGAGATCTGCTATTCTAAAAAAAAGAATTCTTGTAAGCAAGTGGTATTAACGGATTCGTTCACGCAATGCTGGCTGTTATACACAAGTTCGCCGGTTCAAACTCGTTTGAAGCTGTGGATTTTTAAGCATGAAAAGACCCTTAGTACGCCTTCTTTCGGAGGGGAAGTAAAGCCGACTGTTCCAAGTTGTAGATTTAAGAGTCATGTAAAAGATTATCAAGCCTAAAAGAAGTCTGAAATCATCTATTTGGTTGCCTGGGTGATACTTACTACCTTTCCACCTCGCCACGAAAAATTAGGCTACACCGATTTATAGGAAAAATATTGAACTGCACTCGGCATACTAATAGGGGACTTCGTTGAAAATTGGCTCTGTATCGAGAAATTGCGTTAATAACTATTTATCGCAGTAGTTTAGAACAGTAAAAAAATGAGTGTATTTCTGTTTGCATTTTTTGTCGTCAAACTTGAAAATGGAATATTATTTTTGGGATGGATTATAAAGATATTTCGTAATTGTTGCGTGTTTCTGTATTTAGATACTTTGAAAGAAAGAGGTATTTAAACCACGAAATACCTCCAAATGGAAATTTAATACTAATAACTCTTCAATTCTTTCAAAAGTTAACCTATTCAAGCAATTCTGTTGAAGCTATTAAGAATATAGCCGAGCAGTTTCATTCAATTCACATAATTTCCATTATTAGATTAATAATAGAAATAATGGTTTTCCATTAATATTTGTGTGCAAAAGAAACAATTTATGAATTTTCAGCATATTTGGATCTGGTGTCCCAATTTCGTTCGATTTGAGAATACCGTTGTTGAGAATTACGTATTTAATTTACTCAACTGGACTACAGAGATTCAAAAGCACTGGTCCAAACATTAATTTCTACCTATTTCTAATACTCGAATGTAAAAGTATAAAATGACATTCTAAACTCCCGCCAAGTTAGCAGAACATCGCCATTACAACTCTTGATTCTTTGACAATCTGGGAAAGAAATTCTTTGAACTCTAGACTCTTTGGATGTTTAGGACCATGACAAGATCTAGTTGCCTTGTTCATATCGCACTGTGTACATCATGCCGAGTGGATTTGATTCTTTTTAGGCTGTGAACATGGAATATTTTGTTGTGTTGTTTTGTTTTGTTTTACGTTTTTGAAATGGTATCATAGTGAGTGCAAAATGTTGGCCAATCGAATGTTACTAACGCAGTTTTCACCAGAAACGGATATGCTTTGATAGGCAATAGTATCAAATTCGTCTACATACAGCAGCAAAGCAGACTTCACTCCATCAGCCTGGTAAGATTTATTTACTGGCAGTTATAATATGAGTGTCTGTGTATTATTTCAGTTTTCTTTTTAAATATGATAATTCTGAATTGATGTACGAGCATTTTTCATAAAACTAGTAGGAAAATCGATTATGATAGCAGTATATACCCCGTTACACATGATTTCATTTGCCTGGAACTGGTCTTTCTCTCAGACTACAAGTGTGTGGAAAAATACACTTAATCCTAGGAGAGACAATACGAGACATTTGAACAAAGAGAAAAGGTTTCCTACATTTATTAAAACATTTTTTTCTAATTACCTTAGTATTATCCATTCTAAATGACTTTATTTATTAGGAAACTTTTAAAATTGCATTATGACTTTTAAAATCATAAAAAAAATGATTTTTTTCAAAACCTTATGTTTTATTATGAGAAAGTTATCTGCTACCTGTAAAAGTATCATAAGCCTAATCAATAGATTCTGAGAATTAGATTCAAAGATTTATCATTGCCAGGATATGGCATGCATTATCCTCAGGAGAAAACGTAAAATTTTAATAATCTTTTTTTTATACTAAAGAATATAAAATATGACAAATTGATCTTTTAATAATGTTTAAATGAAATCTTCCTACACCAACTCATTTTTAAAATGACAGTGTTCAT